GTTTGCAACAGGCAGGCAATGGGTTAATTTCCTAGGTGCCTTTTCTTTTATCTGTTCCGTTGCGCTGACATTCCCTGACTGGCTTGTAATCCAGTTTCAACATGGGAAGATGCTCGAGAACAAAGCATAATCGCTGCATTTTTCGCTGGGCTTTGACAACTCCCTGTTTTGTTCCATCCTGGCATGTTTCCTTCTGCATCCATTGTATTTCTTTCTCTTTTCTTCCTGTGATGTTCATCACATCGCTAACCGTCAATGCTTTTTTAAAAAAAAATAAAAAACCATCCATTGAACAAGCAAGTTAAAATAGGCTAAAAATATGAAATAAATTGGTTTTGGAAACTGATCAAATCGTTTTAAGACCAGCAAATGCAGATGCAGGACTTTAACAAAATTCCACAAATATGGGGGGTGGGGGGTGCCCTATACAATTAAAAGCTTAAAATATTAAGCTTATTTTATAAATTCCCATGGATGGGTCTAGGGCAGGCATAGGCAAACTCTGGCCCTCCAGATGTTTTGAGACTACGATTCCCATCATCCCTGACCACTGGTCCTGTTAGCTAGGAACGATGGGAATTGTAGTGCCAAAACATCTGGAGGGCCGGAGTTTGCCTATGCCTGATCTAGGGATACCCAGGAAGCAGAGAACTGAAAAAAAGGCTTGTTTGCTAGCATGATGAGCTATCAAGGCATTATGGACAAATAAAAGTAAGAGAGCTCCAATATAATTCTTTTTAAAAGAAAAACAGTTTTGGGAGGGGAGAGCAGGAAAGACGCTTAACCTTTTCCCTGCCTGCTTTATCTCTACTACAAATCCTCCCCACTTCCTTACCCTGTCAGATCAGTGGGATACAATAAATAACAATTATTATAACTATTATGTCTAGAACAGGGCTTCAGGTATTATTTTTTTCTATTGAGGGTCACATTCCCTTGGGGATGTTCTTTTGGTCGCTACATGCTGGTGGCAGGTAGGAGAAGCCAAAAGGCGGGTGGTGAGAGCCAAAAATGAGTGGAGTTTACTGCAGGATTGTATGGATCATTTGTTCCCAGTGAGAAGCGGTCCAGAAAGCAAGAGTAGCCTCACCTGCAGCATCCAGAGAGCCCTGAGAAATATGTGGTATGCCTGCTATAGTTTCCCCTATATGTCACCCACTCTCCTTGCCCTTCCAATTTTTCTGTTCAAAATCCTCTCCTCCCAGAGCTGTTCTTCTTTCAGAAGAAGGTCTTCACAACTTTGTCACATACCTTTGCACAAAATGCGAGTTTGGGGCTATGATTGGGCAAGTGGAAGCATGCTCATATTCGTTTGAGGATCAGCAGGATGATACAAGAGAGAGAGCGCTAGAAGTGTGTCCCAGTCACAAACGGATGTCTTTCGTGAGAACTTTAAACAGAAACTTTGTACTAATTTAAATATTTTTTCCCTGTAATTCTAGAAGGAAATCCATCATCGATAGAAACTGTGTGCCAGGAATCCAGGGAGGCATGTCCATTCAGGGGTGTTCTTTCTGCTCCTACTCTCCATCAGCTCTCTATCTGGCCCTTGGGATTCTCCCCAGACCATACCCCCCTTCCCAGCCACATCCCCTTTCATCAGACCACAACCCTTTTTGAGTTCTTTTGTCTGGCTGAAACTGGGACAATTGATTCTTGTTTGCCTGGATAAACAAGAGCAGGGGTGTGGGAATGGGCATAGAAACTAGCCTACTGTACAAAGGTAACTTTCACATTTGCTGCCATTCTCACTTTGGCCTTCCTCTGCCCACCACTGGCCTGTGGCTCTGGGAAGACTGCCCAGAAGGACTGTGATATTTGGGCTGAAAATAGTTCCCCACCCCTGGCATGGGACCTACAATGGAGGACCCTACAAAAGGCAGAGCCTTGATCACACAGAGAATAGCCTGTATTATACACAGAAAGCTATTGCATGGGTGTCTGTAGAGGCAGAGGCAGCAGGTACGGACAGTTTCTGGGTGGGTGGGGCCACGTTGCTGCTGTGTAAGCATATGAACTTTGCTCTGTTTGCTTACGACATTTTTATGCTGCCCTTCCTGCAAGGAGATCAGAGCAGCATACATGAATTCCTGCCCTCCATTTTGTTGCCTCAACAATACTATAAGGCAGGTTATGATGAGAAGGGTTGGCTCGCCAAAGGTCACTTGGCACGCTTCAGGGGATTTATGCCAGCTCGCCCCTGTGTCAAACATCCAAACTGTTGCAATAAGCTACCTATATGACTCTTTCAAATCATCAGTTCGACAGTTTTAGTATCAGAGTTCAATGAGTAGTTTTCAAAAGTTGCAAAGAACACAGGAGAAATACTTCAGCCAGTTGTTAAAACTCGAACAGAAAGAAAATGTTTAAAAAGTGAAAATGTGATTCAGTTTGGGGGAACGATGGTGTTTTATCACTTGATTATCACAAGTTTCTCACATTCAGGTTATGGTGTTTGCTCCAATTATCACATAACTAAAGGGTTCGTGATCTACTTCTGTCTTACATTCTAGGTGAATTCACTCTTTGTGTCTTAAGAAGGTGCCCAACAGGCACAAATCCCACAGTTAACATGGAGTTCATTTATTATGAAAGGTGCATCTGTTGAATTCTAAATGTTCACAGTTTCTCTGTAACTTATTTTGTACTGTATGTCTTCATCCACAGATGGTGAGGCAAGCATTTCAAGCAAGAGTGCTTAAATATGCAAGCGCTCTGTTTGAATCAATGTGAGCAAAATCAGCACAAGCATATAACCTACCTTAGTTCTGCCCCTTTCCCTCCCCACCCATCTGAACCAATCCACAAAGCAAAACAACAAAAATCCTACTTCGGGAGGAGATGGTGGCAGGACCTCACTCCCACCCCAGTGACATGAGAAATATATTTTTCTACCAGGGACCATATAATCATATCCCAGGATCTTTGGGAGGAAAAGATGCCCCATGCATTGCTGCTAGCTAGTCCATTGCCTCTACCACAATCATCTCCCCTTTCCCCAAGATAAGGGTTTTTCTGCCTTAGGGAAGAGGAATGGGATATGTTCTCAGCAGTGGAAGGCATTCCCATCAACTTGATCTCCCCCTGCCCAGAGAACCTGGCAATTGGCTGGACTTCCTAGGATCTCTGGAAGGAAATGATGCATTGCTAGATGTATGGAACATCTCTTCACACTGGGAACCTGAAACTTGACTCCAAGAGGACAAGAGATAGTGCATCAACAATTGATACATGGGACATCTTTTCCTATTAGGAATCCTGGGACTTGTAGTCCTAGGTCCCAAATGAGAAAAGGTGCTCTGCAAATCATTGGTGCTCAATGCCTCCAACAGTATCTCCACTTTCTTCTTGCCTTGGGAAAGCAAGAGGTGATGAGACAGGTGGGTCCTTGATGGAAAGGGTGACAAATGATCCCACAGGTGTGCTGAGATTCCTTGCCCCCTCCCACTGTGGACCTTTAGCTGCATTGATGGGAGTGCCACTTAATCCTCAAGGTTAAGGCTTGCACACTGGATAATTAAGATTAGCAGAGGGGAAGTTCTTGTAGTGTTCCAGTCAAGCACTGGGAAAAGCTGAGCACTTCTAGGGTGAGCCAGTTGGTTGCTCATCCCTAGTGAGGTGGGCCAGAATTCATCCCACAGTTAAATGCACTTTAGATGCTCCTTGCCACACTTCCTGTCATCTGAGTTTTGTCACCCACTATGTCAGAACAAGTCTTTATGGGTTTCCCATATTTTTGTGCCCAGGAATGGGGTACATGTTTTTGCATGGGGGGGGGAATAAAAGAAGTGACAATCTAGCTCAGAAAATACTGTAGTGTGTGCTGTGTCCCCTCACTGCACAAACATCAGTAGCAGATTGCACAGAAAAGTGCTGTTCAGGTCATAGCCCAAGTCCCACCAAGGTATCTAATCCTGAATGAAATGAGAGTATGCAACACTGTCCCATCCATCACTTATTCTTTTCTCTCTCTTTTTAATGCTGATCACTTTTGTGACAAATAGCCACACCAAGAGGTGTGAGCTTGCATCCTGTATTACTGTGGATTTGTTTTAATCTATTCTACTGGGGAGCAGGGAAGGGAGGAACAATGCATAGTGTAGTGGTTAAGAGAGTAGATAAGTCAGGAACCCAAGCCCCCCCCCCAAATCCCATCTCCATCATAAATCCGTTAGTTATCCACCTGTGGCAAGCTAGGAAAGGACCATAACTCAGTAGTGCAGCAAATGTACAACAAGGTTCAACTTTGGCATCTCTGGATAAAGGATCTCGTGTACGGATTCTGAAGTCTTAGGGATCCACTATGAATTAGAGCAATACAGTACTGACCTAGGTGGACCAATGTCCTCACTCTGTGTAAGGAAGCTTCATATGCTTAGGATTTCTCCACTTAACCTAAGTGGAGAGACTTCATTCATTTAAGAAAACCATTTCAGAATGTTCCTTTCCTCATGTCAATGCACTGCAAACAACTTAGGATAATTAAAATCTTGGCAGAGCAGTGTGCCAGGGTAGCCATCCAGCTTCTGTGTTTCTGTATTAATCTAATGCTAGATGAACAGTTTGGCACTGCTGTTGCATTCTGGTAGCCCACAACATTAGGGGAATAATTTAAATGAAACATTAAAAAGTCAACATTTATAAATTGGTGTGGTCCTAGGTCCTGTGCTGCTTAACCCTGGAAATATCACAAAGGTACCCATAACACTGCTTCTTCATCCACATTATATGCAGCTGTTGCAAAATACATAGAGGAGCCAATGGGGGGGAAATAATATTTTCTCAACAGCAACAAAGAATTGTATGAGTACAGGGTCAGTGCAGTATCCCAGTAACAGAAAGACTTTATGGGAGACACCTAGATCCTGCACAACAGATTGGTATCTACTATAAATTTGTTGGACTGCAAGGCCTGAGATTTGTACGATGAAATATCCATGGGCACCTTCTCCCTGTCCATCGCACTAGCATACCACTGGTAGGCAAAAAGTACTACTCACCTGCACTGAGTATAAACCATGTTACTTCCTTGTTCGCCATCATGGTGCGCTTTTCCCCTCACCCAAGCAAATATCCAGGTAATGAAAGATAAATCTGAAGTTTGAGGGAAGGACAACCTGCCTTCCTGCTGTAGCCTGGACTGTCTCCCCTCTTCTGTGCTGTATGTGCTGTTTCTGCTTCCTTCCCCTTTCACCCTTGCTCACCTTCCCGCCCCTTCAAACTAGGAGGGCAGGCTGTGTTCTTATCTTTTTCCTTTCAAGCTGAAGGAAACTACCCTGCCTGTTTAATTGACCCTATCCGCACCTAAGCAAACAACCTATCATTCCTGATCCCTTCTGACAGACGAGTACACAAAGGAAGCAATAACGTATCACAAACGCCCAGGTGAAAGTGCTCGTGCAAGTACCATGAGAAAAATATTATGGTAAGAAGACCACACTGCTGCTGCTGCTGCTGCTGCTGCTGCTGCAGGCACTACAATTTTTTTGGTGATTATTCAAGAGTGCTGCTTGCTTCAGCCATTAAAGACATCAAGACTAGGTGTTATCTGTGGCAGCCTAGCCTAATTTCTATTCATTCTGCTAACCTGACAGATGTGCTACAATATTTTGTTTATTCAGCACTGTTTTCATGTTGTGTGCTGTTAAAACACTTTCCACTTTCTCCACCCACTGTGCTGCAATTTACTGTCTAGGGTACATTTATAGCTATAGCTCAGAAAATCACTATTATGTTTCTGGAATCCTGGCTTTTCTTAATTTTCCTCAGGCGCCACCTGTAGTTGCCTGAAACAGGGGCCAAAGGGTTGTGTTACCTCTCACAAACCCTTGAGAGATCACTGTATTGTTGCTATCATATATTTCTGCTTCACTCACATACAAGAGTACCAGAAATGTGTCCCTTTCACAATACATAGAAAGTTGAACTTTGGCGCAAGTTTGGAACACATTCTGTGTACACACAAGACATCACAACTATTAGAAAATTCCAGGTATGGAGTATTTTTGTGTCCATTGTTTGAAACTGAGGGCACTTCCAAACTGTCTTTATTTTTATGTAGGATTCTATCCATACAGAAAATTCAGGTTACAAAAGTAAAGCAGGTTTGGAGTTCCTGCGCCCATTTTATCATGACATCTTTGACTTCTTCGTCTTTTAGGTGCCAATTTAATAATAATTTATACATTTTAGACAGATTTTTTTTTATTTGAGAGGAGTTCTTTATCTAGTTCAGAAATTATCTTGTCATACCCATTTTCCATTTTATCTTGTTTAAAAATTCTGTTGAGTGGATGATATTGCAGCCAACTTACACCAATATGTTTTAATGTGTCATAGTCCTTCAGTCATAGTTGGTTATCTCATTCTTCTAAGACTGTACTTTTGAGATAAGGAAAGTGACATGTTCCAGTACCAACCTGGTAGGGTAGCCTAGTAAATCTGGGGTTCCCATTCTATTTCTGTCTCTCTCTGTTGCCACCACCCACTAATGTGGCGCCTAGGGCAAGGGGTGTGGGATTCTCACACCCTGACTCAGTATAAGGCATATTCCCATGTTCTGAGTTACCTCATAGGAATGAAAGAATATTAATCTCCTGAGGTCCCCTAAGAGGACTTTTTATTTAACCATTTGTCTTGTTCTGTGGTAATCCAAGATGGCTCAGAAGAAATGTGATGTGGGGTGTGTGGGATAAATGGGTAGGAAAAGCTTAACAGAAATGACCATGCCTTGTTGTTGTAACTGCTTGCATTGCAAAGAAAGAGGAAACTCGTGGTAATAAGTCAAGTTAAGAAATCACTGAGAGTAGCCGAAAGATAATGCCTTATAAGGTATGTACTAGGAAGGTTTCTGGGTGACTCAGAATCACGAGGAAAAATGGAGAACAGTTAGAAAACTATTGAGCATTCTGCAAAAGGCTATGAATTTTGGTCAAACCACCCCTGGTGGAGCTAGAGCTAATCAGCCTGATCATGGGATGTATGTAATGGAGGGGGTACATATCAAGGGGGAAATATGAAATAGGCAGCCCGGGAAGTCTGTAAACTGCAGTCTCCTAACCAACAGGAGAATGTAGGAGGGAAATTTGGACTGACTATAGGGTATAAAGTACGGTACCTTTAATGTAAACAGGATAGGGCCTCCCTCTTTACAGCACGAGCTGGGGAGTTGCACATGCAGCGCTGTCTCAAGAATAAACAACGCTTGGTTTTGCCTGATCTCGGTGTCAGACTCCTTCTTATCATGCAGCAATTGATTCCCTCTGGGGAAGATCCCTGGGGCAAATTTGTCCAACAGGGAGAGGGGGGTAGGGATGACAAGGACTAAAATTCTGAGACAGGGAGGAAGCTTCCTTTCTGACCTCTGAACGGACACGGCTCAGGCGCCCAATAAAAACAAATAGGATGATTGCCCTTCATATATTTGGCCTATTCCACAGCCAAGTGAGGTCCCTCGATGGGTGGGGATAGAGTTAAAAAGCCCAAGCAGGGACTGCACTTCTCTCTCGGCAACCTGACAGCCAGTGCCTGGAAGTGCTATTATTAGAAGGCTGATAAAATTTGAGGCTGACAGTTGTCCTGCCCCTTTGGGAAGAAATCACAGCGAGGGAAGGAGGGCAGCGGCCCTTGTCCTGACTGTGATCCCGGCGGCCTAATTCCCTGCTCTTTTTTTGACTGGGTGCTTCACTTTACTGCTAACAAGGAACATTAAACTGTCAGGAGACGTACCCTCCCAGCAGAACCGGTAAGTTGCTGTGGGGCTTTCGTAGCTTCTTGCTTCGTTTGGTCTTGCTGGGTCATTGTGTGGTGTCAACAACTGCCACCGCCACCCTGCCTGCGGAGGCCTAGCTGCATTCCTGACATCTGAGACAAGCTGCAAGGGGGGAGAGAAAGGGGACTGTGTAAGGGAAGAGGCATCTTCCCTCGCGGCCTGAAATGGAGCAGGTATTTTTGTTGCACATTTATCACACATCTCCCCTGCATGGAGAAGCCTCAGGAAAGAAGTGCTGCCTCTCTAGACTTCGTCCTAACAACCCTAGAGCAGGATCCCAGGGGTGCCATTTCAGAGTGCTGTGGGGTGGGGGACCAAGTGCGGTGGTAAGGCTTATAGGTCCACTCAATTTAGCTTATAGGTCCAATTCAATTTGCAAAATAATAAAAAAACCTCTAGCCCTACTTTATTCTGAGCTGCAATCTTAGTTGGGGGAGAGTCCCACTAAACACAACCGGAGTTACTTCTGAGTAGACATAGAGCTGCACTGTTAAGAGCATTTGTTGTGGTTACTTTTTATACTTCATAATAGCTATTACCTATGTGAACATTCACGCTTTAAAAAAAAAAAAGCAAAAAGAATTTTGCTTTTAGAAGGCATTTTAATGCATATGCCTATTCCACTAATCAGGGACCATTGAAGAAATGTTGGAGGGTATGGAGTTATCCAACCCCCGAGCTGTCCGAAGGCAATCCTGTATAGGGAAGTTTTCTTTAATGTTTGCTGTTTTGTTATGTTTTTATATATGTTGGAAGCTGCCCAGAGTGGCTGGGGCAACCCCGTAAGATGTGTGGGGTATATGTAGAAAAATTATCATTCTGGAATGGGACGTCCCCATTTTCGTCAGAGAAATGTTGGAGAGTATGTTAACAGTTTCTCTAACTTCCATTAATATAGTGCTTCCAATGTGTCTTGCCTCCTTTCCAGTGGGTGGTATTGCTTTATGGCAAACATCTCTTTGGAAGAGAGGCCTGGGGTTTAAAGTTGTGTGGAATCAAATGTTTGATCTCAATTGCTTGGGGTGGTTCGTCGTGAAAAGGAAACCTCTCAAACTTCATGTTCTCAGTCATACACAAACCCCCTTTCTGAACCACACCGATCTGTTTTTTGTAGCTTGGCAGATGGGTTTGCTCTATGTGCCTCTGCCTTTTAGTACGTTCTGATCCTCCTAATCCCACCCTCCCCTATTCCAGCGTGTTCCCACAGCAACTATGGCAAGTGGTATGGATTCAGATGGTGAGCAGGTGGTGCCCGATGGAGAAGGCCCTGATGTGAAAGCCGTCCAGGCCCACTATCTTCGCAGTCCCTCTCCTAGCCGGTGAGTCTTTTGCCAAGTAGGCCTCTATATCCCTCTGATCACACGGAACAAACGCCAGCCATTTTCTAGCCTTCCCCCCTTTTTAAAATTACCTTATGCTAACCCTGTGCATTATCCAAACCCTGAGCAAGGCAGAATTTAAAGGGTTCTTTCTAATTTCTTTTAGAAGCCAGGGTGGAGAGCTCATGCATTATTTAGCTAATCTAATTGGGTCAACTGAGGTTTTCCACAAATTCAAGTGTTATTGGGGGAAAGCATTATCAAAGTTAAGTGAGGCAGCACAGAGGAAACAGAGCCCACCCAAGCTGCCATCATTTGGATCAGTCTTTTCACAGTTCTTTGATTTGTTTGGATTCAAGCGTTTGATTCAGTTGATTGTACAAATTTGGAATCTTATGTGAAGCAGGATTTCTGGGTCTTGCATAGAGGCACGCCCAGTAATCCCAGTTAGAAAGCAGTAGTCAGCCCCTATCTATTTTTGAGATTTTCTTTATCCAGCACGTTTTGGTCTGCAAGAGAGAGCCTTCTTCAGTGTCCCAAACCTGTGTGATCTTGCCCTTTTCTCATTCAAAGGCATCGCTCAGTAGATTTTGACCCAGTGTGTGGCAACTGTTGGTGCGGCGGGGGGGGAGGGGGAGAGTGAATTCCTTGCTAGGGATCATTCATTAAGAAAGGAATTAAAAATACAGCTGTTGATACCATAATGCTGTTTTGCAAAGCTACGGCATGTCCGCACTTGAAATACTGTGTGCCGTTCTGGTCGCCTCACCTCAAAAAGGATATTGTAGAGCCATCAAAGGTTCAGAAAAGAGCAACCAAAGTGGTCAAGGGAATTTGAGCGAGTCCTCTGGGTGGAAAGGTTGCAGCATTTGGAACTTTTTAGTCTCTGAGAAAGGAAGGAAGGAGGCAGTGACAAAAGCATGGCCCAGTCCATATGAGTGTCTCAGTAGAGCCTATCAATGAACATTTGTACACTTAAAGACGTAGTCACAAGTAACCCTCACCCCATGCATTCACTGAACATGTAAAAGGGGCTCCTGTTTCCTGGCGTGTTCTTAGTTCCATTCCTTAGGGATATTAAAGGATAAATCAGGCTCTGTAGGCTGATTCATTTTTTCTTTTATCTGTTTCTGTTCCCATGGCTGATGATGAGACTGAGTGCTGCTAGCCAAACCATCTGTCTTTC